ATCTCATATCGCCCAGCTCTAATTTCTGTGCATTTTATTTTATTTTTTTTGCATGTGCATTAAATTAAAGTTGATTACGTCGATTAAGCATCGACGTAATCAACCTAACCCTGTTAGTTAGGTTGATTAATATTTTTGCCAAGTACTCTTTAAAATACCATAATAGGGAGGAATGTGTAGGTTTAAGTTTATTAGATTGATCAGTATTGCTGAACTATGAAATATTTTGGGTGCAGTGTATTTTTTGCATACGGGTATAACAGAATAGCTTTAGTGTTTTTGTTTTTGTTTTTAAACTTGAGTTTGAACTTGAAAAACAGTTTTATTGATTAAAAAATACACTATCTGATTCATCTCGGTATCGGCAGATATCCAAATTTATGATATCGGTATCGGACATAAAAAAGTGGTATCGTGCCGTCTCTAGTTTTTACTTACTAAATACTTAATTATAAAATAGTAATTGTTGAGTATTGGATTTGAGTTTGTAAAATGAAAAAGTCATTATTGAAAACACTAGTCGTCGGTGGAGTTTCTCTCTGATCCATTCTATCCTGTTTGATTTGAAAAATTAAGAACTAGTAGCCAAAAATCCATAGGAGGAAATGATGATAAGGACCAAATTCTACGTATCTATGCATGTTGCTGCCGATATAGTGTTTACAAGGCCAGTTGTCGCTGATTGGTCTAACAAAGCTGAATGTATTGAGAACAAATGAAAGAGGGAGGCTCAATGGTAGTTGAAAGAACAGAGCAAGTGGAGGAGGGGAATAAAATACAATTGTTTGATTCCTTTTTGTTATGCTGTGGAGACAAAAGAAAAACATCACACACACAGATAGCCAGTCAAGTTTTGAATTGTGTTTTCCTGCTTCCTTTCCTATTCATACATTTACTGAAACATGTCAAGCATTACTGGGGGAAAAATTCAAAATGCAACAGGATAACTTTATTTATTTGACTAATCTGTACTTCAAATGGGATGAAAACACAAACAAAAGCTCAAAAATAGACTGCTACCCTCAGTTCCTGGATCCATAAGACCTAGAACTGTTGAGCTGAATATCACTAGAGAAGGCAGAGTTGTCTGCCTGACAGTCCCCAGAGCAAAAGGCCTGTGAAGGTGTGGCATATAAAGGAAGATCTCCAGAGACAGGCTGACGTCAATGGAACACAGCCACCAACAGAAGTACATTACTGTAAGCATAGAGGTAGCTTTTAGTACAGCCCAATAGAGACAGCAATAAGGGCAAGGTACACGTTTGTTTTTCAGATAGCCATGTTAATAGTTTTATGTTTTGGCATTTGGTACACACCAGCTGGCTTAGGGCTGGCTTAGTCTTGCTTTGTTTCAGTAGTCTTATGTGACAAAGTGCAGGATTCCCTTTCTAAGCCTTATGTTTTCATTCTTTTTGTTTTCTTTTTTTTTCTGTTCTTTTTTTGTCAGCAGTCAGCAATAGGAAAGCTCCACCTCCAGTCCCTCCCCGTACCACCTCCAAGCCCCTCATCTCAGTGACATTACAGAGCAGCACCGAGTCAGCCCAAGACACATACCTTGACCAGCAGGACCGTGGCAGTGAGGTCAACAGCCAGTCAGGACGGAGCAACTCCTCTGACAGCCTCTGTAGCATACGCACGGGTAGCCTGGCTAAGGGGACCCAGCCTCCACCAGCGCCTGTCCCTGCTGCAACCCCAGCACCATCTGCAGGCTCCATACCTCCTGTTCCAGCCCCCCGTGACCTCCCAACTACCACCACCACAACCACTACTGTTGCTACAAGTACCACTTCCACATATACTCAGTCCCAAAATGACACCCTAAGCAGTGGTACCACTCTAGAGCAGCCCCCGACTGCACCCAAGAGGAAACTTTCCTCTATTGGAATTCAAGTAAGTTTCTTTTTTTGTTGTTGTTGTTGTTGCTGGAGATATAATCAAGCAGAGACAGACAGACAAACAGAGTTGCATTTCACTGATATATTGTGTTGTTCATTTTTCAGGTTGATTGTCTTCTGCCAGTTCCAAGAGAAGAACCTCTGCTGCTGGCTAAACCTCTTAAGTTTCAGTCAATCGGAGTTCAAGTTGAAAACGGCAGGCCGTAAGTATACACTCATGTTTCCAGGCTTAAGCCTGATGTAGAGTTCTGTGGTAAATTTATGTCCTAATTTATGAGGTAACTGGAAATTGCTTTCATTCCTACACTGGAACCTGAAGTTACTAGGTAGATCTGATGTAGAAGTATAATTATAATTGTAAAACACAATAAAGAAAGAAAATAGATTTTTGTGACAGAAGATGTTAATTTTTACATCTTCTAATTTTTGTCATTAGTGGTTTGATTTGAGTTTCATTGATCAGCTTCCTGCAGAGGTCCATTTTATATGCCCAGATGGGTCACACCTGTTTTTGCAGTACAAGATGGGGAGGGTTGGATAATGTTAAATAGGCACTATAGATGTGCTATAGTTATATTATTGGCTTTAAAACAATGGTATTCTGGTGGTGGTGTTTGTTTTTTTTAACTCTACTGTCAGGCCTGGTTTTAATGTGCTGTAGCTCTTGTACTTTTCCCTTCCTAACTGCATGCACTTACTATCTCATTATTTCATCTCTGTTGCTCGTGCATCTGCAGCCTATACAGCAGTGAGTGGCTAAGGTCATTCAGCAGTCAGCCTGGCAGCAGCATAGCGCTCTGATTGATGGATTTTTACTCTTGTTTTGACTGTAGTGAGCTGAACATAGTGAGAAAGAGGCCATTTAAACTTTTGCAGAGCACTGTAATTTCCCGTAATCACATTTGTTTGACAGTCCACTCTTTTTCTCCTGCTCATTATCTGTGAAGCCAGTTGTCTGATAAGCTTTCATGTTGTATACCTGATTTGTTGCTAATATCTGTACTGTCACATCCTCAATGCTATCTTTCCGAGTCTTTGCAGTAAATGATAATGCACAATCAGCTGCCACAGTCTTGTCAGTCAAATTCACTGACCTAGATCTGTTACTGTGGAACATGTTTGCCCCATCACTTAATTGTCTCTTTTGTCGAAGTTTGTCAGAAGCTGATATTTATGCATGTGTCTGCAGTCTCAGCCGGGACAGCAGCATGGCCTCCAGACAAAATACAGAGACTGAGCCTCAGGAGCCTAAGGATGCCGCACCCATAGAAAACAACACAACCAACTGCGCCAACAGTCAGACGGTGAATACTGCGCCGAACGGACAGGACAAAGCCATGGAGCAGCAGCCACTTAAACACAACTCAGCACCATCCAGGATATCCATCTCACCCCCAGAGACTCTCGACCCAGCTTTAGACCCCTCCTCGTTGCCGCCTCCAGATCCCAGCCTCGAGTCTGGAAACTGCAGCAGCCAGGGAGATGCTGTTCAGCCTACCACGCCAGCATGTCTCAGAGACGGCAACTGGTTTCTGAAGCTACTGCAGGCTGAAACAGGCCGCATGGAGGGATGGTGTCAGCAGATGGAGCAGGAGACCAAAGACAACAAGCTCTCAGAGGAGGGTAGGTGACAGAAATGGATAAGGTGGCTATCAGCACATTTACATAGGCCCCATTTTACTTTTGTCATGTGTCCTGTTTTCAGATAAGATATAATAATCTCATTTGCCCTTTGCCACATATGCCTGTCTGTTGGCCAGATCACAAATCCCTTTGCAATCTGTCTTAATTTTCCCACGCAACATGCAAATCGGGGTTGGGCCTTTTCCAGACTGGTGTTATCGCTTCTGTCGCTCTTACTCCCTCTCACTCACCCATGCAGATCAGCACTATCTCTGTTGTCATTCAAGTGCAAAACAGATCAAGGGCCAGATAAATCCCACAGCATGTGAGATTAATGTCAGTTTACACATGTAAGAAAGTGCTGTGTTTACGCACAGTATTTACTTGGTACTTGTTTTTTACATTTTGAACATTTGGCTTGAATCCTCAACTAGTAATGAAAAATTGAAATCAAATTATTAAAAAACTAAGCATATTAGGTTGATTTCAAGAGTATCTTTCAACGTTAGATGTTAATGTGCTACAAAGAAAGATGTTTTTGTTTTTTTTTAAAAGAGCCACAGTTGTATAAAAATTGAAAGAAATCTGCTATCAGTTAATTGCCAAGAAGAATTGAGTTGCTGTGCTTGTTAGTGAAGTTCACAGACAGGACACTAGGTCAGGTCTCATCCCTGTTGATTAAGGACACAGAGACAAAGCATGACAGTCATTACTGCCATTGATTCACAGTACTACAGCTTATTAGAGAGGACGGGGGCAGGGTAAGCATTAGTTTAGCTATAACAGAGCCACTGCAGACTCATTTCACTTATTCATGTCCCAAAATACCACTCAGGCTCTTAAGTAGATCAATCTCTGCAATGCCTTAAATATGAATGAGCAAGAAGCAGATGAGCAGTGTAGGCTCCTTCAGATAATCATTCCTCCTACTCTCTGTGGACCTGAATTATGAATTTCCATTTACATGCAAATACATGACTGAAAGAATCTTTTGTTGTCAACGCTATAAAAGAGTTTATAAAATACTTGTAAGAAAATTATTTACTGTCAAGCAAGGTTAAATGGTAATTGTTAGTAAACACATTGCATCACGCATCTTCACGTCTTGACCCTTTATGTACTTGAACTCAGACATGCAAAAAGACTCGTGTATTAACTCTAAAACTCAAAGTTTGTTTCTAATGTGTCTTTTTATTCTAACTGGAAATGTTTGTTTGCTTGTTAAGGGTTTGTCATATTTGTGTCTTTGTAGTTTTGGGGACGATCCGCAGTGCAGTAGGGAGTGCTCAGCTCCTCATATCACAGAAGTTTGAGCAGTTCAGAGGGCTCTGTAATGAGAACTTGGTGAGTGGCTTCATTATGTCCTGTTGAGTGTGTGTGTGTGTGTTTGCTGTCCTTCTTTTGTTGCCCAATTGTAAAAGATCATTTGTTTTCCATTATTTGACCTACGTAAAGTGAGATCTCATTATTTTATGTTAATTAGGAAAGTTTCAAGCAGAAATGCAAACTTCACACCGATCTTACACGATTGTTCACTTGTCCTACTGCAATATTATAATTGTTGATTGGCGTCAAATGTATTTTATTTTCATCTATTTGCTTAAAGGCAGGCTGCCCGGGAAGTATTTGTGTGGGTAAGGATGTGACTAATTTTCTCTGTTTGGTCCAAATCTATTCATCTGTCTCACTTTCCTTTCCCTAGAATATAAATGCCAACCCACGACCAACATCGCAGGACCTTGCAGGGTTCTGGGATCTGCTACAGCTCTCGATAGAAGACATCAGTATGAAGTTTGATGAGCTCTACCAACTTAAAGCCAACAACTGGCAGCTTCCTGAGAAGAAGGTGATGTTGGGTACCTTACATTTTTGTTTCACTTGAGATTTTTAGATTGGTGCCATGGGTAGAGTTGTCATAATTAGTCATTCAGCAAAAAGTTAATCAGCATAATATTTCTTTGGTAGTTTTTCAAGTAAAACTGCTAAATGTTCTCTGGTGCCACCTCCTTAGCAGTGTGAATTTTTCAGTTTTAAATGGCTAGAAATTGGACACCATTGTTTTTTGGATAGTTGGCTCATTAAGCCAAATGAAGTTGAAGATATTTCAGAATTTTCTGACATTTTAATTTAATTGACAGCTTGATCAATAATCAGTGTTAATTTCAGTTGTAAATGCAAGCCTGGAGGATTTTAAATTATTTCCTAAGTGCTTAATGGACTACATATGACACTTAATCATCACTACTGGAAGTGTGTTTTGCTAGTGCCACACCATATCTCACTCTTTTCCCCTCTTGACATAATTTCCTCAGGATGAAAACAAGCAGCTTCCATCATCTGTGCCAAAGAAGCAGAGTAAGCCGCGGCTGTCAGCAGAGAAGGACAAGAGCGTGGACTCTGCTGCAGACAAGCAGCGGCAAGAAGCCAGAAAAAGGTTGATGGCAGCAAAGCGTGCGGCATCAGTACGACAGAACTCCGCCACAGAAAGTGCTGACAGCATCGAAATCTACGTCCCCGAGGCCCAGACCCGCCTCTGAGAGCAAACCAGCACCGATCAAAAAATTGCTAACGCACTTCAGACATTCATTGACACAACACAAATCTGAGACACACACACATATGGTGTCAGCAGATGGATATATATATATATATATATATATATATATATATATATACACACACATTGGATGCACAGATGCCAATCCCTCATAGCTGCACAGAAGATATGTGGGGATCACAAATAATCAAGAAAAATGCAGATCACCAACCTGCTGCCATGGGACAGAAGTAACCTTGACAGATGTTAAATACTATTGTTATTATTGATATTATAATAATTATTATTATCTCCTAAAGTATTTCAAGACTGTCTTAAATGTGCAAGTATCTTCGATAAGGACATCCTGTACCTTGTGAGCTGAAGAATCTTGGTATCCCAGAAGTTTACTCTCTTAAAAACTCCCTTCACTGCTGAGTCTACCGGCAAGTTGCGGCTGCCAGGTTTACGAGCTGAGCGACCATCCACACACACTCAGGACACACATGCAGGTGTACTCACTGTCCACAGAGTCTTCCTGTTCTCTCTCTTTGTATTTGGCTGCCACTCGTTGGGTGTGGTGTGTACGCTTTACTGTGTAAGAATTATAAGATGGCGTTAGTGTACTCAGAGGTTTAAAATGCAGAGAACCAGAGGAAGGCAGTAGCATATATATTATAAATATCACACTATTACAATGTTCATTTTGTAAATGTTGTATACCAGATTATTTGTTAGAAAGAGGTCAGTGTTCAGTACCAAGGTAGTTTTTTATAGATCGAGTACATTTACTGTCATGATATATTAGCACTTGATGCAATCATTCACTCCCCATTTATCTTCCTCTTCTTTTCACCAGTGCACATTACACAGTCTGTGGATACCCATTCTTAAAGTCTTACTTTGGTTAGTTTTTGGTAAGGGATATGAGGAAGGATCGCCCAGCCAGTGAGGAAAAAGTGGAATGTATGAAATGTATGCGTTTGCAGCTCATGTTGACTTGATCACTGCACTTTCCATTCACCTCAGATCAAGTTTGCCCACCTTTTGTTATCCTAATCATTCTGACCTTCACTACATCCTCATGCGATGTAGGGGGACCAAGACATTCACCACTTGATATGGCATTCCCATTCAACCAGACTTGTGTGTGAGGGTGGGGGTTTCCTTGCTTCTGGAAAGAAAATGGAATAGCATAGCAATAATAAAATCATATTAGAACAAGCAATGCAGTAGGTACCCAGTCTTAAGTTATTTAATCAACATTTCCAGTTGGACTTTATTAGCATGAAGGATGAATGTTTTGGGGTTTTCTTTGTTCTTCTATGAACTAACTTTCCTTAAAATAACAAGAATCTCAGGTTGAACACTTAAGCTCAACAGTGAAAACCACTATGGATGGAATATTTATTATACAGCCTCTGGGCCAAAATCTTGGATCCTTTGCCAAATATTCCATAGGACTCCAGGCCTACATGGTGTTCTTCTATAAGGAAAAGGACTTTTTAGTAAGGTTGGGTGATGTAACGAAAGGGGTCAGTTTGACTCCTCTGAAATCACCATTCCTTTACGGCCCTTTCTAGCAGCTAGAACTCCCACCCCTTTTGAAAATGAAGAACTGTGGTACAATGTTTGTTTTGGGGGTTTTTTGTTTGTTTGTTTTTTATGCCATTTGACACATTTTTGTGACATTCATCCAAAATGAGATCAATCTAAACATGCGTGGACGTCTGTAATTTACAATAATAAATGGTGCTGCGAGGGATTTGATATTGTGCCAACGTGGCAATGATCATCAACCTTTTAGTTTCATCTTATTAGGATTTTATTTAATGTTATTATTATTTAATCTGCTCATGAATTCAGTTGCCTGTGTGTGCATTCTCAGAAAAGTTTGTGTTTGCATCCGCTCACTCCAGATATGCTATGCCTCATCTCTGTATAAGCTCATGACACTTTGGCTATGGGACTGGAATAGTTTCCATGTTTCCAGTTTCTTAAATGGAAACTCAAGTGCCAAGGGTATATGAGTGGAACAGGGCATAGCACATACTCATGCTAAAGTGTAGGCAGTGTAGGTTGACTCACTTTTTCTTTTTCTTTTTTGTTGCAAGAGCTGGCTCTCCCCCTACTGGTCAGTTTTTTGCATGACACTCCAGACATTTTGTTCTGCTCCATTTTGAATTTTTAGTTGACGTCCAAAAAGACACGAAATTGAACTGGGAATGCTAACACAACACTACGTTGTCAAATTTCTTATTCTCTTATTTGTATTACATCAACAATGGACATGTGCATTTCATTGTCCAAAGAAATCATTAAACATCCCTTTGCTACATGTCCTGTCATCATTCTTGCTGTCTTTTTTTATTGCACTCATTCATGAAACGGTAGTAATATTAGCTGCGAAGTTAATATTACACAGATAAATCACAAGCATTAGAGTAGATCTTTTATTGTTACCGTGTAATCTCTAAAAGCATGGCCTTCTTACATATAAAATATACAAAGATCCTTGCCAGTGAATTTTCAGTATTCCATATCATGGGTCTTACAAATTATCTGAAGCTATTAAATCTGTGTAAGGCATTCAGGGTATGCACTGTACGTAAGTGTTTATTACTGTGACAAATGGTGGAAAGTCCTTTACTTTTTATCTTCTATCATTTGAGAGCTGGATCCCTTTATTTGCCTGTGTACTGAACTTTTAAGAGAGCAAGACCTGATCAGGGATCTTCAGACAGTTTGTTTACCAGTACTTCCTGAGTTTCAAAGGGCTACAAAATGGACACATGATGACCAGAAGGTGCAACTCTAGAGGCAGGTTATGTGGATTTGCTATTCAGCCACCATGTGGACGAGGCAATATTCTTCGGCTAAGACGTTTCTAGAAGTTTTTGAAGACACAGACATTTTGGGTAATCTTTTGGGTAAAAATTGGGTCATTGGTTGTGCTTAATGGACAGAAAGCCCATTCTGACTTCAGTGCTCACCCTTGTGGCCACATATCTGTCCTCTCAGAGACCAGCCAGGAAAATGAGCAAAAACTATGTAGTTCCAGATTATCTCCTACTGACAAACATTATTTTACAAAATAAGCACATATCTTGCAGACAAAGGGTTGTTTAATGTTATGGTGTATTAGTTAGACACTGTGAGGCTAGTTTCTTTTAAGAGAATAAAGAATTGTGATTCCCATGACTTATGAGTTGGCACTTTTTCTGTGTTAATTAAATGTAGAATTAAATGGGAATGCCACTCATATTTGAAGTTCACTGTATGTTTTTTTTCCTTGGAAATATGTTTTTAAAAAGATACCACAATCCTATCTTGGTTGTTCTTGCAGCTTTTTAGTCCATCTAGGCATGTTGTCCTGGTAACACTAACAATGACAAAGGACATGTAGAGAAACAAACCCTTAACCCTTCTTGTAAGATATTCAGAGGTATCCATCCTGCTGGGGGCTTTTTGATGGCAGGAAGGTTCTGTTCCACTTGTGTACTTGAATGCAAACACACTGCAAAACAATACAATAGCTAAGATTACCTTTAATCTATGATGAAACATTTCTATATTAATGGGAGTGGCCTCTTCCACACGGACGATGCCTCCATATATGGGACACAAAGAGTCACTGAATAGTGATCATCAAAACACAATTTAAGGGAATATCTTCCAGAAGAGTGCCAGTGGAGTACTTTGTATGTCGTCAGTTTTTTTCAGTTGGGTTTTTCTTACTTTATTTGTCACTTTTGTCTGCTTTTTTGCTTTGCCTTTTATTTTTGGTCTTTTAGTTAAAATGAATGGAAAATAATCCAATATGTTTCAAATAGTGTCCAACTTTGTTTTAAGTGCTGGGAAAGGCTGTTTCCTGTTTCAGCACGACACACACCAAACACGACACACTAAACCAAGTCAGTTTGTTTGTTGAGCAACTGGACCTGCTTCCACAGAGGCTTGACATAAACCCCAATCAAACACTGCTCTAATTAATTTGAACACAGACTGTGAGCAACCCCGTACCACACAACAAGACTGGCCAACCTCACAAATGTTCTCATGGATTAGTAAGAGCTAATCCCAGCAGCCAGGCTTCAAAACTTCATTAAAAATCCTCCCATTACTGTAGTTGCAGTTCCAGTGGTACATCCAAGCTCTTAATTGTATTCCGAAAAGCAATAACATATAAGCATAATGTGAAAGTGTCAACACACTTTTTTGCCATATAACGTTAACACATGGAAACACAACCAAAAAAAAAAGCATGTTCAAAGCAAAGACGTTCTTACTGCCCTGTTGCATTGTGCTGCATCACACTCATACTTCCTGTCATTTGATCCCTGTTACTACATTACAACTACAGTGCAGAACGGACGAAAAAGAGCAAATGAAATGAGGGAGAAACATAGAGGAGAGTGTTGTGGGTGATAATAATTAAAAACACAGACTCTAGTAAAAGCAGAAGAGGTTTTGTTAGAGACATTCTCTGTCAGTGAACACTTGCAAGTCTTCTGGATTTGAGTTTTCAGCTCATATTTTATTCAGCAGCTTTTTGTACATTAATAATATGTGCTTCATATTATGTTAGTTATGTTTATTGTTAACACTGTCAGTGAAACTGAAAACATATGACTACCAAGACAGCAAGTACAATAGATATCTTCTTAGGCACTTTAAGCGTGAAATTCTGGGATGATAAAAATGTTTAATGAGCTGATAGTTGCTGTCATTATATTTTTGTGTGTTTATTTTATTTTTGCTGTCATTTACACCTCCTATACAAAATAACTGAACTATTTTAAAGCCTTTCAACTCCATAACAACTATAATGATAGTCTATGCAGCCAAAATCACAACAGCTAAAGGTCAGCCACTGCGTAGGTAAAATGCCATTTTATCTGGCATCAGGGCAATAGCAGTTAACAAGGCCAGCAAAAGGGCCAACATGACACTAATAGGTCAGTATTTATTAGTATAATATTAGTATGTGGCTCCACTTTTGAGACTATACAGTTAGGTCCATAATTTGCTGGACAAAGTAAACGCCTCAGTGGATTTTGAATCAAAACATCAATATGTGATTGAAGTGCAGACTTTTTTTCTTCAGTGGATTAAAGATGTTTAAATGTTTAATAAATAATAATAATAATAAAAATGTTTAATAAATAAAGCTATTTTCAGAAGCTCAAAATTAACTGGACAGACACAATTTTGAGGATCGTTTTTAGAACTTGTAAGAACAGCAGCTGCCTTAAAGTGCTGCTTTTTTTTTTTTTTGCAGGTCTCTCTGCATTAAGTTTTATCTTCATGGGGGTTTTTTGCCTTAAGAAACTCCTGGGTTGCTTTTGCAGTATTTTTTGACTCTTTAGTGATTTGTATTGAGATCTGTCGGATCGGTTTTGCAGCATTTGTCTGAGTCTGAGCAGAGAGCATAGCCCTGTACACTTCTGTCAGCAGTCACATCATCAATAAACATCAGTGACCTACGTACCCACGCTATAACATCGCCTGTCACCATGTTGAACAGATAACGCAGTATGTTTCAAATCATGAGCTCCGAGCACGAGCTCCATATGTTTCTCTTCCTGCTAATCAAGTACAAGTTAACCTTGATTTCATCTGTCCAAAGATATTTTTTTTATTTATACCTGTGCAGGCTCTTTTAGATGTTTCTGAGTGTAAGGTCTTGATTGTAGACCTTGACATGATGATACATCTACATCCTTGACAGTGTTTTTGACTTAGTTAGATGCTATGAAGCGGCTTTTCTTAACCAAGGAAATAATTCTGTCATCGTGCATTTTAGTTGTCTTCTGTGGTTTTTCAGGCCTTTTGGTGTTACAAAATTGGCCTGGGAATTGCTTCTTTTAATTAATACACCCGACTGTTGCATTAGCTGCTCATAAACTTAGCTACTTTTAGTCTGATGGCCTACCTCATTTGTACTGACATCTCTTTGGCTCTCATAATTAAAATTCTAATTAAAAGCTATACAATGCAAATTCCACATTTGGAAACAATTTCATATATTATGCCTGCTTCAGTTGTCATGAAATAACATGGGGACAGGCCTCATGTGATCGTGAAACACCTTTTCAGTTTAAATGTCCAGTTATTTTTGAACCTCTTAAATTCAGGAACTATGTATGAAATGTATTTTTTGTAAAATCTCACGAATTAAAGCTGAAAGTCTGCACTTTAATCACATGTTGATTATTACTTTTTTTAAATTTACCGGTAAATCCACTGTGGTGGTGCACAGAGGCAAAACTTCAAATATTGTGTCCTTGCCTAGCCAATTATGGACCTGTTACCATAATGGAGTGTAAATGCATTTTTAATCCTATGCAGTGCGGTGCATTATTTTTTACATTATAATATCTATATTTATGCACTTGTTTTCTCATTAATATTTTCTATTCTCACAATAATCTGCTCAGTGGCTTATCATTGCTTTCCTTCAATATAACAATAAGGCTTTTATATAAGTTATTATCAACAGCTTTTTTTCTACAGTGAAAAGTAAACAAATTACAGCAAAGCACTCAATTAAGTCAAGATTAGGAGATCACTGAGTAAGTTGAAGCTTTATCCTTTTTGCATAGCATATTATGGCATGAAGCACTTTCAAAACTAAATTTAACAGGAAGCACTTAGAGCGTAATCCTCCGCTAAAGCAGCTCACACTTGAGGCACTATTAACTTTTAAGAGTTAACAGTATTTTTTTAATATATTTATTTTGTTTTTCTTGTTCTTTTTAAGCATACTTGGAGATGTTTGTGGTGCAGGAAAAATCAGAAAGCGTAGCATGACAAATGTTTACTTTGATTACATAATCATTATGCAGGTAATGGATAATAAGTAACGATTTGTAAATGATTGGACATGAATATAACTTGAGTTTGTTATACTGCAGTAAATGTTTACCTTGCTGGACAGCTAATTCTCTTTCTTTTATTTTTAAAAATATTCTTCTTCTTCTTGAGAGATGTCTCTTCTTATTTTCTTTAAAGAGACAACACATTTTGGTGTCCACTTAAAAGAAGCAAAGATGAAATGTAAAAGTCACATCAAAGATCAAATGTGACATGATATTTGGATGCAAACTATAATGTGACATTTAGAATCCCTATATACTAGTATAATTTCATAAATGTTGCCAATACAAACAAATGTATTAGAATTGTAAAAATGGTTTTAAAGATAAAATAGATTTTAGGAATGTTTGACCTTGAATAAAAGGTCAGAGGTCCAAAGTAACATGAAATTTAGAATTCTGGTCTATAATTCCGTGTCCACCTACATGTTGTCAGTAAAAAACACGGACAGTTAGAAACATAGTTTTAAATAACTCTATATTGCATTATTATTATTATTCCTTTGAGTTTCAGATCAATCTATTGAACCTGAAGGAACGCAATGTGACCGAAGTGCTTTGAGTGCTCATGTAGAATAGAAACGTTCTACATAAGAACCAATCCATTTATATGTTGACAATGCACACTTCAAGTTTTTTCCACCAATAAATCAGTAAGATGACCTCGAAGACCAAATTTTGATGTATTGTTACCATGACTCCCCTCTACACCTCTACAAAGTTAATAGAATTCATTCAAAACTTTTTAAGCCATCACCTTTAAACAAAGATTGACACACACGGAAGTTATTGGTCATGTAATAGTTGACGTCTTTTTTTGGAAAATAGAGTCCCTAAAATATTTTATTTTGGAAATCATAACCAGAAAAGCATCTTCCTTGACACTAACACTGAACTTCCGGTATCAGAAACCGAGGAGGAGGAGCTAAAACGTCCGTGAAGAAACAGGAACCGTCTCCTGTGTCGTTGAACGTCAACTGATGACAGCCCTGTGAGAAAGAAAATAAAACGAAACAAATCCTTGCGCTTTGTTTTTGGTAAGTTTATACATTTGTTCGCTTTATCGCGGCTTTTCTGCAACCAGTTTTTTCTTATTAAACGACATAATATTGAAGTGAAAGCAGAAGTGATTAACTTTATAGGCCAAGGGCAACCAGAGCTGTACCTGTTTGGCAGGATGACACTGATACAAGCTTCTGCTCTCACTGTTTTGCATATCCTGTATCCGCAAAATTCTCCTGTGATAATATCAGAAAAGCTTAGTATCAGTCTGCAGTTTTGAATTAAATCTAACTAGCTTGAGCGCATAAGCTTCACTAATCATATATCTGGTATATTTGGCAGAAGAAGAATGTATCTTGTATTGCATGAATTTAAGTACAATTGAGTTCGTTACTTACTACATTAGTTGATGAATAGATATTCTTAGCAGAAATTGAATTAATGAAAAAATCCAACTATTATATTTCCAGCTTCTCTAATATGTGTATGTGCTTGTTCTCTTAGTATTCAATGGAATTTAGCTATTATTAGTTTTGAAGTTCGGTTCAGTGTAGGGCAAAACAAGACATTAGAACATACCTACTATTCTTTCCTGACAGGACCACAAAATAATCAACAAATGAATCAAGGGGAAAAAAATAATTCACTTGTATGTTTTGGTTTAAATGGTTTTCCAAAATAAAACATTTTTTTCACTCAGTCATCTGCCTCACCTTATACATATATGCACACTGTTTGGATCCTCTTTATCAGCTGCTGTCTGACATCTTTCACTAGTGACCAGTGCTCCCTGACCAAGACCAGTTGTGCCAGGACAGCAGGGCAGACATCAGACGCCTCATGGCTGCCAGGCACCAGAGACCTGTGGCTGCTTCAGACAGCTCAGCGAGGACCAATGAGAAGAAGTGCTGTGAGTGGTTGCCTTTCTGTCTGTGTTCTTTAGATGCAATATGAAAATGAGAGGTGTAATTTACCCTCTATTAACGAATTATTATGTTGTTGAACTTTCAGGCTTTAATCTGGTTATCTTCAATCTGGAATGTGGGACAGGGCCTAACGTAGGAATTCAACTTTAGTAGGAATTCAGCAGATCTCTTTAACTACACAGTGTTAATGGGATCTGCTGTGACAAACTCCAGTCATGTCTGTTCTTGCCAGAGAATGGCTTTCCACAAACAGTGATTGAAAAGCAAGGGGGGAAAAAATCAGTTAGAAATGTTTCTATTTCATGCTCGAGCAGACAAGGTTACGCTGTGATATAGAAACATTAACCTGCAGCAAAGAGATGACGATATTGTTACGTAAAATAAAGGTTAACTAGTTAGTGAACTTTGCAGAGGTGACATTTTATTATTACAGAACACTCCCACTCTTTGCTGTCACTGTATACAGTAGGCATACCTGCCCTTTTATTTTGAAGGGTGGATTTTAGAGGGGGGCGGCTGGTTTTGAAATGTCCTTGAATGATTAATAAAGTTTATAGTTATGTGTATCTGTTTTGGTTTGTTTTTTTGTACTTATGCAAACTGCAGCTTGGGCTTCCTACATGACCAATTCTCCAACTATGATCGTGATGATCGGATTGCCCGCTAGGGGGAAAACCTATATGTCCAAGAAGCTCACACGCTACCTCAACTGGATTGGAGTACCAACAAAGGGTCAGTAATCAGGCAATGCCTGTTTCACAAAGTCAGACACCTTTTCGCAGGAAATCAAGCTAATAAAACTGGATATGTAGGTTAAAAAAATAAAACTGTAGATCAGTCAAAGTTAGGGTGGTTATGATGGAGTCTATGATCATCAAGACTGCAAAAATATCCATCTAATAAAGATCTTGATCTTCAGGCAAATTATTTAATTTGTAGTTGTATATGTCAACATTCCTAAGTACATGGCTCTATTTGTTGTTGTTCACCTATGTTTCAATGTACACGTAATGCAGCAGAACTGGTTTGACAGATACAGCTGGTTAGGCAGAGGCAATCCTTGTCACTTAGTTTTATTGTCGTTCTCTGACTGTTTGTTTGTTCCCTTGCAGTTTTTAATCTTGGAGTGTATAGGAGAAATGCAGTGAAGTCGTACAAGTCCTATGACTTCTTCAGACATGACAATAAAGAAGCAATGGAAATTAGAAAGTGAGTAAATTAAATCCTATTCATATATGAGCATACTTTCATAAAGTAGTTCTTGTCACTAAATGCACCTGGCTACTTTCCATGTAGGACAGTCATGCAAATTCCTTTGTTGAGCCGCGTTGTGTTTGCCTAACAAAATGGCGGCATAGTTATTACAGCACATCACGCGATGATGATAACATTAATGAGCTACTGCTTTGATTTCCTGCTTATTTTTCCACAGAAAGTTTGCCATAGTGGCACTTGCGGATGTGAAGACCTATCTGAGTGAGGAGGGAGGGCAGATTGCTGTAAGGACACCATAAAAAACCCTGAACATTATTTGTATTACGTAATACATTTAAAGCAGGGTTTGATTTATGCTGAATGCTCCATGTTGTCTCTCAGGTTTTCGACGCCACCAACACTACCAGAGAGAGGAGAGAACTCATCCTTAATTTTGCAAAAGATAATGCATATAAGGTTAGAACTGCACTTATAACTGAATAATGAAACAGTTTCTGATCACCAACCTTTTGTTGTCAGATCACAGTAATATAATGAAGCATGCAATGGCTCTTCTTGGCAAGTCTTTTCTTGGAAAAAAATCCCATTTACAGCCAGTTTCCAAGAAGCATATCTCAGATATTTAAGACACCCAGAGGTTACCAAATCTTCATGACTGGACAGGCTGAACATTCCTTTCTGAACATTGTTTTGGTTTCAGTGCCTTTTTCAAACTGTATAACAGACAGTAGTTAATTTGTGTTGCAGTCATTTAAAAATGTAAAATGACACCTTTCCCCCCTAATTATGCACTTCTATTTTTTTCAGGTGTTTTTTGTTGAATCAGTATGTGACGATCCAGATGTCATCGCTGAAAACATAATGGTAAATCATACATTTACTTGCTTTTTGTCTTCATGTATCAGCAAGCTTGTATCCCTGAAGTAACGAAGCTCATGATATACCGTAAATGTCTCGTTCACATAGGACGTGAAGGTGTCCAGCCCAGATTATCCTGAGAGGGACAGAGAAAGCGTCATGGGGGATTTTCTGAAGAGAATCGAGTGTTATAAAGTGACCTACCAACCTTTAGATCCAGACGAACACGACAAGTAAGAATACTCCTACTAGTTGTATTGTTCTAATCTAATAATCTAACTCTAATTTAAAATGGAAATATTTTTTTCATGGAAGTTTAAAGTCAAGGAGATATTTTATGTAAAAGAGCATGTACCTGCAGAAGTTGTCCAGAAGATGGAAACAGAAGCTCATTTATAGTGCAAAGCAGTGATTCAGAGGTCATTACTTCCTGAACTCCTACTAACTTAGTTTTAAATTTGGAAGCTTAGTGGTTTATTTAAAGTCTTTGATAATTACACTGATAATATATTTAGATTTTTATTGATCTCACTGAGATAATACAGTGATCCTTTTACTGCTTCTCACTTCTTATGACCTTGTTAACAAGCTACTGAGAGAGAATTTTCCAGTGTATTTACACTATACCACAAGTACAAGATATGTCTTCTTTACCCTTAAGTTTTATTGGCCTGAGATTTATGTGATTCACTTATTGTTATTTTTCCTCTGCCTTACAGGAACCTGTCCTTCATCCAGGTCATCAACGTTGGCCGTAGTTTCTTGGTCAACAGGGTGCAGGATTACATTCAAAGTAAGATAGTCTACTACCTCATGAACATCCACGTCCACTCCCACTCCATCTACCTCTGCCGACACGGAGAGAGCCATCACAATATGGAAGGACGTATAGGGGGAGACTCTGAATTGTCAGAGAGAGGAAAAGAGGTGCCTTAGTTTTTTTTCTTGTAAAGAGTTAGATGAGATTGGTAACAATGCCCATATTTATGTTTTAAATGTAATATTAACACCAACAGGCTATTTTAGCTTAAACAGATAAATAGAGGGTAATGGGTGATTTGGCTCTGGCTAATATCACCTTCAAAACAATAAGCTTTAAAAGGAGGTGTGATCAAAAAGTTCTGGGACGTCTAACTCAAAACTTAGACGTTTCTCCAGTTTATCAACAACACTTTTACCTTGATTTTTATTTATGTGATGTGGAGACAAATCTGGCCACATTGTAAGCAAAAAAATAAAAGATTTCACTATGCATTTATACAGCTCTCACCACATAATGATATGGGATACAAAAATTTGAAGACAGGAAGGGGTGTTTTCTAAATAAATGTGAAGACCGTTGTGAAGTCATCCATACATCCATTTTCTGCCATTTATCTGGATTTGATTTATGAGGACAGCAATCTAAGTAGATGCCCAGACCTCACTTTCCCCAACCACCCCCTCCATCTGATCCCAAGCCAGCTGAGACACATAATTTCTCCAGCATGTACTTGGGCTCTTGCTGGTAGGACAGTGTGCGAACCAGCTTACCTAGAAGCCATCCAGGAGATATGCTTGTTAGATGCCACCCTCACTGGTATCCAGCAACTCATGATTTCAGTCACTACCAAGAGCTTGTAGGCTAAGAATGTCAATCGACTGGTAAATAATTAGCTTCGTTCACTTTAGACTGCAGTTCACATTTCAACCATTGCAAACCACCTTGCTGCACACTGGAGGTCACTGCCTGACCACATCATCTGTGAAAAGCAGAAATGTGAACAGAATCATTGATGAAGGGCAGCCATGGTGGAGTCCAAGTCTCACAGAGTCTGACTTACTGCATGCAATCCAAACGAAGCACTTACTACACTGACTCTTTCTTCACCTCTGGTGTCCATCAGCTGGTTCAGCGGTTACCGCCGTGCACTTTGTAGCCACAGCGCTGTAGCTCTCAGCTTCGGCAATAGAGCTGCTTAACATGGTCCACTCATACTCAGCTTTTCTAGCCTCTAGTTTCTAGCCTTACTTGTTTGGTGCACAAACCTGTCCATCACGACAAGGTGGCAATTGAAGAATTTAAGGAGGGGCATCGTTGTGAAATTAAAGAACACATGTAAGTTGTCAGAATGGAACTTGCAGAGAGTGATCTAAAAGCAGCCTAAACATTTTAAATCAGGTTAGGTTTTTGATTCTTATGGTCCTGCTCCTTGAACCTGTAAAATACAGTTCAACTGAACGTGGGAAGAATGACTTTATAGTCAGTTCTTAAACATATTTGTGTTTTCATATGCTACGTTTGACAGTTTGCAGCTGCACTGAAGAGGTTTGTGAAAGAGCATAAATTGTCAGACCTGAAAGTTTGGACCAGCCAGCTAAGACGCACCATTCAGACAGCAGAGGAGCTGGGTATTCCCTATGAACAGTGGAAGATTCTCAATGAAATAGATGCTGTAGGTATTACTTAAGTTTTATATATACAAACTTTTGTTAAACTTCTTGAAATACAGCTTAAAGTCTGCACTTTAATGACTCCTTGATTGTTGTGTGCAACTGTGATGCCTACAGAGGAAAAACTACAATAAATGTGTCATTTTCATGTGTGAAACTGTATTTGCCTGCATATATTGGAACAGACACAGTGAAAACATGATAAGTCTCGATCTTATTACTTTGTATTTTAGGGAGTGTGTGAAGAAATGACCTATAAGATGATTGAGGAAAAATACCCAGAGGAGTATGCTATGCGAGACCAGGACAAGTATCATTACCGCTACCCTGGAGGAGAGGTAAAAGGTTTAATTTTCTCCTAGAGTGTTATTTGACCTGCCATATATTACTACTGTGAGTTTGTCAAGTTTATGCAACAGGCTTTAAATTTCAAGTTTATTTTTTACTTTTTATTTCTCATTATTCTTTTACCATAGTGTGAATGCCAGAGGGCTGCGGATGAATCATCAGTCAGAAAAACAGAAGTTAAAAATGTTGTCAGCTGCAAGAATAGCTTCTTTTTTAACTACAAATGCATCATTATATGTAACAGAACAGAAGATTTTATGCTGAGATAAATAGAAATACTATGAGCTCATATTGCAGAGAAGCATAGAATAAAGACAAGTCAGCTATATTGTTGCTGTTCATCATAACTAACACTGACTAATAAAGAAAAGGGAAAATTAAAATAACAGTAAGCACATGACAAAATTAGATCTTGCAGTAGTTAGTCAAAGATTTTTTGATGTAACAAACTGAAAAATGTGAAACTGAATGGACCTCTTTCATTTCACTCTCCCCATAGTCCTATCAGGACCTGGTTCAGCGGCTGGAGCCAGTGATCATGGAGCTGGAGCGACAGGCCAATGTTCTGGTCATCTGTCATCAGGCTGTCATGCGCTGCTTGCTCGCATATTTTCTGGACAAAGGCGCAGGTGACATGCTCAGAAATAGGATATGCTAAACATGCTAAAGCACCTTCTCAGATTACAGGTTTACAGTCCTGAGTGATCCATTTCAGCCAGCATTGTCATTATCGCAACAAATTTGCCCAGATAAATAAGCACTCATTCATACAAGTTAATTCAATGCAATTTAGTTGTATTTAAATAGTGCCAAATTACAACAACAGTTGTAATACAGTCAGCAGAAATACAAAGTTAGCAGAAATACACTAAATGACTCGTGCAAGTGCAACTTTAATGGATGAGAAGCAGTTTCCAAAGCACTTACTATTTTTGTTTCTTTATATTTGGAGAAATATCACATGGGGCACTAAATTTAGATATTGTCATGACTTTGAAATGTGCATTTCCACATTACCAGTTGTTTCCTTATTGTAGATTATGCACTTGGCATTGTGTGAATGGCTGCATAGCAGTGCCAAAGGCCACCAGTGTGCAGGTTTACTTTTTAAAAAGCTGGTTTTACTTTTCACCAATATATCCTAAAAAAAACTATTTCATTTCAGCAAAATGAAAATAAGTGATTTTTAAGGAATAAGTGGGCCTGTAAAAGAGGTAATCTAAACAGAACCTTTTTCTAATTTACTGCTTAAAAAAGTGAGAGACAGCTACCTATATATTTGTGGATGAAACCATTATGAAGGGAGAAACCGGAGGGACAGTAACTAATTCAAAACAAATAAGCCCCATTCCTCCATGCTCTCACAACAGATGGTTTCATTTCACTCATTAGGTCTCTGTATTTCAGCCAGCCGCACCCTCAACCCCCTCTTTGGTCTAACCAGAAAGGACTAAGCCAGGTAGCTCATAAAGCAGAAAAAGTAATTAAAGCAACCATCATTTAGAATTTTAGACTACAGTCTAATGTAATAAAACGTGTGGAAAAAAGAAACACAAGCTAAACAAGCTAGGTGTGTACAATGCAACTCCAGTGACTGCAACAAAAATATGGTAATGATGTAATGATGTGGGAGTTTGTGAAACCATAAATCTGGTTTATGTGTTGAGAGTAGTGTGGCTGAATATTGCAAAAGGGTCATTTCAGCTGTTGTGCGGCTGTGGGCACGGCAATCGCAGGCTGAGCAGTGAGAACCGCACATAACTGCCGGGAGGTGTTTTCTGAAGAATGAATAGTAAATTTATTTTAAGCCTTTTTAAGTGCTGCACACTTTCAACCAATCACAATCAAATTAATTATTATTCTCAATCTCATCTACAAATGGCGCCAGACTATTGCGTCACACATTCTTTAGTGCTCAAAGTGCAATTCATACTTTTATAGACATCAGCCAACTGTGCGCTGCTAGTACGTGCATCTCTAATTCATATAACAGAATTAGGCATAGGCTTAGGTGAGTAGCTTGTTAGATGGATGTTGTGTCCACCCACCATGTTTTCTGTGCCATGAGCTCTTAAGTTCCAGCGAAGAACCTCTAAGAATAGTACAGCTTTAACTGCAGTATACTGTGTATTAAGCTGTGTCCCAGTGCAGTAAACAGGGTAGATGTTATTTGGCAGAGCAGAATCACTGATATAAATATTTTGACCACATTAGACAGTGGATGGTAATGAAACAATCAATCATTTAGTTAGACTTTCATTCTGTGATTGTCTTTTTAATGCCACCACATGGGGGAGTCTAAGTCACAACCTTTCAGATCAACTTTTTCTGCATGTATATTTTTTAATGAATATAGGGGGAAACAGCCACATAAAAATGCCGACTGTTTCCAGATTAATCAAAATTTAACATAAGGAGCATCTGCTAAACGTGACGCAGTGAAGAGAGCACCACTCTTTGCAGACTACTCTGTTTTTAAGACATGTAGGAGATGATTGGTTTTAAAGTAGCACCATGTGCCTGATAATGCACTGAGTTATGTCTCCAGAGATTTAGATATTCAGGTATGTCTGTAAAAAGTGATGTAAATAAGTGACGTCTGTAATGACGTACTTCCTGATTGCCGCTGTCTTCTCCAGTGTTTGGAAAATAAACAGATCAGAAAGACGCCATCAACAGCAGTAGCAAGAGTTCAAGCTATACAATTAGGACTCCCCGTGATATAGAAATGTGTTTTTAGTGTCCCTCTATATTTTCATTTATGAAGGTAAATATTATGACATAACGAAAATGTTGTCTAGAAGGGTTAGAAAAATTAAATGAGAGTGAAAATAAAATAACAAAAACACAGGACAGGAAAGACTGATGTTGTTATTATTGGGCACAAACAAGGTAAGAATGTCGTATATGTGAACGCCATTGGCAATCAGAAACTTGGAAAGGGACAGATTAGATCATTATGTGCTGAAAGCTTCTTTATGTACTTGATCATGTGACGTGAGCATTACTTTTGGAAAATAATTAGTTCACTCACTACCATAATATGGCGTGGGCAGAAGTGGTTCTGTCAGTCAGCAGAGGAAGTGGTCAGTGCTCCTGGATCGGTTTAAAAGCTCAACCACAGTCTGACTGCAAAAACCAAAGTGTGGGTGCTGCTTTGACTGGCTTCATGTCCCACTGCACTGCCCACCCATGAGACATACAGCAGAGTTAACAGCAACATGCACTGTACCTCCATAAAGCGCAGCATAAGTTTTACAGCTGGCCTGCCACTTCAGACATGACAGTAAACTCCACAAACATGTAGGAGAATATGAAAAGCATGACTGGGTGAAACCACAGTAATCTCACTGGCCACTTTTATTCATGTTGGCACAGATGACCTGCCCTTCTTGAAGTGCCCCCTACACACTGTCCTAAAACTCACCCCTGTGGCTTATGGTAAGTCCCTACTTTGTTGTTAAGTCAACTAAACATCCTCACTTGTTTTTGTTGCCTTGTTGTAATGTATTTTGGTTCCTTCTCCTAGGTTGTAAAGTGGATGTATTTGACCTGGGGGTGGAGGCTGTCAACACTCACAGGGATAGACCATTAGTAAGCTTCTGCCTGTTTTCTAGTGTTTCGTATCGCAAACATGTGGTCAGTTTTCTGTAGAACCGTTCATCCTATTCTTTGTCATGTGTTTGTCCATAGTATGGAGTCTGAAACATCAGTCATCTGTGTTAACCAGCGCCATGTTAAGAGTTATTCTTTGGAATAATTGTTCCTCATTCTCGAAAAGCCTTTCAGAATTGCACTTGTAATTTCGATCCAACAGTTAGATAAGAAGATTTATACCAATCATTCCAATCATGTCTGACTATATCTAGAAAGGAAGCAGTGGAAACAACAGCTAGCCTGTGTTTATCTTAAGTTATTTACAGTCACAAGCCACTTTGTTTGGTTGCTATACACCTGTATACCATTCTAGAATCGAGTTGGATCCACTTTAGCCTTAAAACCTGTCTTAATTCTTTGTGGCATAAATTCAACAAGGCACTGAAAAGATTCCTCAGATATTTCGGACTATATTGGCATGATAGCCACACATAGTGGCTGCACATTTATCAGCATGGTCTCAGTCTACTGCTCCACCACATCCCACAAAACATGGCCAGCAACAATAATGAGCTAGACTATGGTGTTTAATCAATGCTCGACTGATAATAAGTAAGGAAAGTATCCCTCCCACCTTTACACCACCAACAGCCTGAACTGTTGCTACCATCTGAATGTTACAGCAGGAAAGCTGACTCATCAGATAAGGCAATATTGTGTTGTCCAGTTTTGGTGAGCCTGTACAAATGGTAGCCTTGTTTTCCTGCTCTATCCTAACAGTACTAGCACCCAGTGTGGTGTTCTGCTGCTGTATTTGTACATTTGTTTCTCGGTTCCACGTCTTAAGCGTACAGAGATACTCCTCTGCATATCTTGGTTGTAACTAGCAGTTATTGCAGTTACAGTTCTCTTCCTCTCAGCTCAAAGCAGTTAGCTGTTTTCACCCAGCAAACTGCTACTTACTGAATATTTTCTCCTTTTTTTCTTTTTTTTTGAGAATTTTCTGTATTTGTATTCAAGTTTCGGAAATACTCAGACCTGCTCTACTAACCATGCCACCTTAAATCGCCTTTCCTCCCCATTCCGATGCGCTGTTTGGACTTCAGCAGGCTGTCTTGATCAAATCAATGAATAGCAGTGCTGCCATGTGATTTGCTGATTAGATATTTGTGTTAACGAGCAGTGTACAGGTGTACCTAATAAAGTGGCCAGTGAGTGTAAATCTTTGTCCCAGTTTTTCTAATGTAATGTGTGGGACTATTTCTTGATCAGGTGCAATGAATCCTGGAGTTTTGTCCTCACTGTGCGGGTACCGTTACGGCCATTGTCTCTGGTGGTGAGATAGGTCAGTGCAAAAAAGTTTTCCACCTCTGTCTTGTCCATCTGTTGTTGGCTCCAGGTGGAGGGGAGCTCTTTGGTGACTCCTTTTTAGTGTTTCTTAGTTGGCCTTTCCTTTGTTTCCCTCAGAGATTCCTTTAAAGGGTATATCTGCTAGTGCTACTTTAAAAAGCACGTGGCCCATCATCCCCAGTGCCTTCTCTTTACTTGTTCAGCAGGTAGTTGGTTTAGTGTTTCTTCTACTAATGTCAGCAAGCAATAAAAACTACAGGAAAGTCTGTGGTAAGTTATGTGTGAGGTATATTATTAACTCTGTTTCTGCTTTTATAAACACCTGTTGTGTGGGGAAATACATCCAAACTTGTTTATGTACTCAAACACCTTTATCGCTTTTGGGAAATTCTATTTAAGGAGTTCCCTTAAATGTTCTGAATTTTAAGAAATGTATCAGGACATCCCCTTGTAGCACTCATCAGTGAGGTCCATGTCTGCTCTCTGCCCGTGGAGCTCATGCTGATTAGTTACAAGTATTTAAAGTCTGAGTCCTGAGACAAAGTGGGTGTTAACACATAAACACGTTTACTGAGAAACCTCTTGTTAACTGTGGTGAGAAATATCCTGTCCCCTCAGACTAACATGACAATGGCTTTTCTATTTATGGTTGTTTGTGTCAGTGGCTGTCTTTCCCAAACATGGAACGCACTGATTTTAGACCAAGGAGAGGTTTAGTCATTGTAACATAAAAGTTAGTCCACTTTCTCTTTTTGTTCTTTGCTGAGCAGAATAAAGGCCAAACAGATGCCATACCAGCTTTCCTTCGAAGAAACAGCTTCACACCGCTGTCCAGCCAAGACCAGATTAAACGACCTCGTCTTTACAGTGTGGGGAACCCTTCACATACTCGTATGTCCCAGGCCCCTACTTTACCCAGCATGCAATTCTCTGAGGCATCTGAAGGGTCAGAAACGGTACAAAGTGAGGTCAGTGCCTTTCTCACACAAGATACTGTGGTTATAGGTCAGCTGGTATGGCTGAATATACAGATAAATATTATATATTCATATAAATATCTGAAACAGACTAAACAGTCAGCAAATTATGTTAGATGAGTCAGAATGTATCAGAATAAATAAAGTGATTCAACCAACATTTACTATTGTTGCTCACACAATGGATGATGAGATGTCCATGTGGACATGCACTGGCTTTTTGTAACAATTTAGCTTCAAAGTCGGCTTGGCTAATAATAATAATAATTAAAAAGCAGTGTGACGGTGTAAAAAAAACTGTGTTATTTTATCCACCATTTACTCTGACACTGAATTGCGTGGGACACTAACAGTACCAACGTTGCCTTGCTTGTAGCCACAAAGGTTCATGTGAAAAATGGAGATAACAAAAAGTCTCAGTAGGCACAAATTTGGAGGCCATCCTTGCTTGTCTTGTAACAGTGAAGACACATGACACAACTGGCTGTGAAAAATTAGCAAAATGAAAACTGAACTAACATTTGAAACTAATACTGTAGACATGATTAATATAGGAAAAAGTTAAAAGTTGAAAGGTTAACAGCAGCATACAGTGAAATATGATGACTGAAAAAAACTCAAAGCAACTAAACCAGTCTTATCATTATTTTTTATTATGAAAAGTGTTAGACAAACAGAACCTTTGGTAATCAGTTATTACCGGAATATAACGGAACAATGTTATCAAGTGCTATCAAGATTGTTCTTTAGTTTGTTCTAACGTGTTTATCACAGGCGTGATGCACCGTCTGGACAATCACTGCTCTGCATGTACACATATGCCCATCTTTTCTCATACCATACAGCATGAGGGAGGATTATTTATCTTTTTATTTAAATAATTGATTCAAGGTTTAAATAAAAGTATTCTGTATGTACAAATGTACTTTAAGTGTTAAGGTTTTGGGCTGGCAGAGGCCAGCATAAGCAAACCCAGGATGGTTTGTTTTTCATGTTCATGGATGTTTACAACAAGCAATGTTCCTTCATAAGGATGTTGGATGTGTATACATGAATATAACTTTTTTTCTCCAATGTTTTTGCTTGTGTTGTTACCCAAAAAGTGACCTTTTAGCTGTAGTAGGACAGAAAATCAGTGTCTCACTCTGAGCTGTGACCTCAGATTTTAGTATTAGTTCAAGTTCAGTCGGCGCCAGTCAAAACAAATAGCTCATTCCTGTTTGGGTTAAAGCAGTCTACTTTCTCTCCCTTGCTTTTCCCTCTTGCAGAACTCTCTAAATGGTTTCACTGGTGCAGACACAGATGACTGTGTGGAGTTTAAAAACAGAAGTACATAAAAAGGTATTCAGAACCTTCCTCTTATCTGTTACACAGAACATTATACATATATCAGTATACTTTATACTCTGTACTGTACTTTACAATACTATACACTCACTGGGGACCTTATTAGTTACACCTTATTAGTACTTGTTTGGATCCCTTTTGCCTTCAGGACTGCCTTGATTCATGGACACCTCAAAGATTTTGGTCTATATTCACTTGATAGCATCAAACAGTTTCTACAGATTTGTCAACTGCACATCTGTGATGCAAATCTTCCATTTCACATCCTAAAGGTGCTTTCATGTTGTTAACACCAAGTTCTGACCCTACCATCCAGATGTCACAGCAGATGTTTGTCCAACTTTGTTGACTCTGTGCAAATTATAGCCTCAGTTTGCTGTTCTTAGCTGATGGTGCATTCAGAAATGCTGTCCAAGCATACCTTGATGGTAGCAAGTGGTTATTTAGCTGCATAAAATAACATAGCAACAATCTGTTCTCAAACCACAGTTCCAGAGATCAGCTCTTTCCAAAAGCTTAACAATAAAAGTATGTCTTCAACTTTAATTTAGAGACATTCACTCACAGTTGATGGTCACTCAGGAGTCATTCTACAGCAGGGGTCGGCAACTCCATGCCCCCCTGGATCAACACACCTGAATCAAATGACTAGTTCATTTACAGGCCTCTGGAGAACTTCAAGTAATGTTGAGGAGGTAATTTAGCCATCTGAATGAGCTGTGTTGGATCAAGGACACATCTAAAACCAGCAGGACACTGGCACTTGAGGCCTATAGTGCCTAGCCCTGTTCTAGAGCCTTGGTGCAACTGCAGCAAAGGCTGGATGGATGGATGCAGGTGGAAGATCATTTAAGACCACTGGATTGTGGATTCTATAATGAGCAGTAAGGCAGTGCAAGGCTGGTAGCACTGGAGTAATTTGATCTCTCTCTTTTTTTTCTCGAGAGTGTTCGAAACTGTGGTTGACCACAGTAATTTGTCAATTTTACAATTTGTGTCAGAGATTTTTTAACTTGTGTTTTAATGAGAGGACATTAAAGTGCCTTTTCAACTATTAACCTCCCAGTTAATAGTTGAAAACTAATGGAAATCCAATTTCTTATAGGCAACATTACTTTTGCTGACTGACGCTCACTGGGTATTTTGTGTTTTTTCTTTTTATAATCATTATCTGTAAAGCCTAGAAATCATTGTGTGGGAAAAACCCAGGAAATCAGCAGTTTCTGAAATACTTGAAATAGCCCATCTGTCACCAATAACTCTGCCACATTCAAAGTAACTTAAATTACCATTCTTTCTTTTGCTTAGTTTGAACTTCAGCAGGTTGTCTTGCTCTTGTTTTCATGCCTCAAAGCAAAGATTACTTGCATTAACTAGCAGTTGCCGAGGTATACCTAACAAGGTGGCTGGTGAGTGAACTGTATTACAGTTGTCTCATTGCTTCATTTTTGTCTTTTATCCCAGGCTTTTCTCGACAAGTCCAGTACTGACCAGCACGGACCAGCAGAAAGAAACCCAAAAAGCTTCAGCCATTATGATTTTAAGCATGGACTTGCAAGTTAGAGCATGTGTGTACATAAATGAAGTCAGCGAATGTGTGATCCATTCAAATATACAAATCAAACACTTGTACCAAAGACACTCTCAACACCATCCATTAGTTGCTAGCACACTCCATATAATATTGCAGATTACAGTCATGGTGTGCTTTATTAGATGTCGAATATGCTGATTGTGAAATTTATACCTCAACCTTTTTTCTTCAGTGTAGTATAAGAGAATTTCTGTCTTGAAGGAAGCCATGTGCAGCCTTATTTTGTGCTTAGATTGTTTCACTTTTAATTTTAAGGTCACTTAGTTATGTGCATTCTCCCTCTGACAACATGTAGCAATAAATGTATTGTGAGGTGCAATTTAGGTATGCAGAAGTGCGATTTAGTTTTCAGGGGGAAGCCATAAGCTGTAAACATTAATGACATGTTTCGTCCAGCCCTATAAAAAGTGCAGGATCTACTGTGTGTCGACTTTAATCTGTGACAGTTAGTTAATCTTCTCTCTTGAGATGTGTACTTCTTCTTTTATTTTGTCTTCCGTATAAATAACAGCTTTGATATAGAATCATGGCACTGTGATCATGTAAAGCTGCTCACCTTTGAACTGCATAAAATGAATGCAGATTTTCTAAACACAGAGGTTACTTGTACAGCAGTATTGGATGTTATGTTGGTTTGTAATGCTTTAGATTTCGTCACGGGGAAAAACAAATCAGGGCCTTTGTAGTTCTACCTTTACTGTCCATATGGAACGACAAGATTGAAAAAGGGTCATTTAGGAAAGTACCTTTATTTACAGGAATATAGGCTTTGACCCAGGTAATCAAAGATATGATATGCAAAATTGTTTCCTTGAATGGAAGGAAATGGGATTGACGACGCATTTGAATGTCTTAAAATGAACTTGTAGCTAATGTAGCTGCACACATTTTACCAAAGTTACACTGTTTTTACACAGACTGTCATTTGTATTTAAGACTGACTTGGAAATAAAGTCTTTATTCCAGTAAAGAAATCTGTGCAATCTCAGTGGGAGTAACCTTCCTGTTTGCTAAACTCCAGAGACATGCATCAACAGAGTTGAATGAGGGAGCGATCTAAGGACAAATCTAAATCTGGGAATGAGATACATTTAGATTGAAATGTAACAGTTGGATGATACAAATCTGATATGTTGCTTTTGTGACACAGCTTTTCACTGTGTGGTCTGTTCTGCTTCTACTGTAATGATAATGTTTTCTAATGTGTAAATCCAGCAGTTTTGTTTCAGAGTTCTAAAGAAAAAGCTGTGCAGCACATTCAGCTCTGAATTGTGAATTGTTTTTGTTCTTATTTTAAATAAATAAATCCCAACTTATTTGATTCATGATTTAAGATACTGATTTGTATTTTTTGTGATTACTACCAGGAAATCAGGGAAATGCATGAAGAAAAAAGAAAGTAAAAGCAGCACTGCTGAGAAATGACCCTCACATTGCTTTGACGCCTAAATAAGTCCTTGAATGTCTGGAATGAGATAAAAAGCCCTGGAAAACTCAACCACTGATTACAGAACAAAATATTCCAACGGGTATTTGAAAAGTAGGAATGTACACCAACTTTTGTTTTCTTGGTAAAAAGATTTTAAGTGGTTTTTGCATGGTGGGTCACTGTTGCATCTCTCTCATGACTTCAGTCGTACATGACGATGATTTGAACCCAGAATTCATCACTCCATCAGGCCCGTTGCCACTGATTTTCAGTGCAGTTCTTAGCTCTTGTAATTTGGCCTACCTCAACCTTTTCTCACCGCCTCTCTTCCATCCCTGACGAGGCTTCGACAAAGAAGACTGATCAACTGAAGGGCCAAAAGCATCTCTCAGGTCCTGTGTAAAATCATAGCTAGATTTTTCTCCTCATTTCTTAAGGACGTGGGTTTCAGTTACTGTTCTTATTTTCATTTTTAAGGTCTGTTATTTCTCATTTTGTCTTTCACTTGTCCTGTTTCCCTGATTTTTTTTTTATGACATACTGAGATATGCTAAGTATCTGGCTAATAGCTCTAATAGTCCTAATAGCTCTTCTGGGAATCACATTTTTGGTGTAAATTTAAAAAAAACAAAAAACCAAAACATTACAAACATATATTATGCATGGTAACGTGGTTGCAAATCAGTGATAGCATTAGCATTAGCAAATACACTGTGGGACGCAACTTGTAGTGCACAATTACTGTTCTTTAAAATATATTGATGTCAAAATAATGGTTAAACAGATAAAGTGAATTCGTAACTTATTTTAAATGTTATATTGGGGAAGCAGTTTGGTTATCAAGGACCTGGAGCAGGAGAAAAATGCCATTCTGAGGAGTTTGAAACAACTGAACAACTAAATATGATGAGTGTGTGTGTCTGTGTGCTAGAGTGGGAGAGCAAGCCTCTAAAGATAGACGCACAACATTAGTTCATCATTAGTTTTTTTGTATGCTTAAATTGTTCAAGTGTTAAAAAATCATTCCTCTGAAAATAATTCGGTACAAGGACTGGACTGAAAGAAAAGAGAAAATTACAAGGTTTGGCTTCTTGGAATCAAAATATGAAGAAATATGGAGTGACTTTTCCACAGAATCATATTGTAGCTGCTGCAAAAGTTGCAATTTTAAATGCCAAAACTGACTGACTATAACTGATACACAGTCAGTTATAGTGACTCAGACCCAGGGCTGGACTGGGACAAAAAATCGGCCCGGGCATTTTGACTAGAGACCGGCCCACCAAAAATGTGACGTCATTCAGGGGTAAAACCGCAAAGGATTCTGGGAACTTGTGGCAAGAGGTACTAGCGCATGCAGGCTTTCAATTGAGCTCAGTTACACAGCGATACAAAAAATGGCAAGAAGCTGTTGTATTATTAACTGCAATAGCCGGTGTTGTGCCAAAAAGTCTGCCAAAAACTGATTGCTGGTATTTAAATTGCTATGA